GCACATGATTCACATAAATGAACTTTATTCCTTAGCAATTCCAGGACTGAAGTGAGAGCTTTGCACATGCTGGGTAAGTGCTTTAGCACAAGGCTGCATCTCCAGCCACCCAATCCCCCTTTCTGAGACAGAGGCTACATGCAGAGGCTGGCCTCAAGCCTCCTGCATCAATCTCCTAAGAAACGAATCACAGACTTGTGCCATCACACCTGGTCCCCAAAGAATTTATGGACTAGTCAGCAATACTCAGGGAAAGGGCTCCCCATCCTGCACCTTTAAATTCTGCTAGGTCAGTGTTAAAACCAAGCATTCAGAGCCACAGTGGCTCATGCCTGTAATCCCAGCTCTTGAAAGGCTTAGACAAGAGGATCACCATGAATTCCAGGCCAGCCTTGGCTACAGAGTCAGTTCTAGACAGTCTAGGCTTCAGTGAGACCTTGTCTCCAAGAAAAAAGAAGACAGCAAGCATTTGGAAGCAGAGACTAGCTGGGAACTACAGCTTTCTTGAGATTGAAGCTGAAGGCAAAACTAGCACAAGTAGCTCCGTAAACCTGAACAAAAACAGACGGATTTCAACGTTAAGAGTCAGCACTGTATTTTCCTGTTAAATGGGGAAAAGTCTGTAATGGAATCACACTAGACTATTAGTCGCCTGCACACACATCAGGATTTTGGAGTTAATCAATAGGTCTAATGAAAAGGAAAAGCTGGTGGAATTCAAGGTCTGGGCTTCCATATGCTCTCCATTCAGCAGCTGTGCCAACCTGGCCAAGCGATTGAGCGTTGACAGGGATCATTTCTTCATCCACAGAGCAGAATATTAATAAGACACTGTGAAGACTTCAGGCACTATCTTGAGCATGTAGTAACTACTTGCATCTGCTAAGCAGCTGCAGAGCAATGAATGGACAGACCAGTACGTAAGAACAAGCAGGAGAGAGAGGCAGGGATGATCAGAGTCCCCGCCACACACTTCTCAGACCACCATTGCTCACAAACCACTCAAGCACATACAAGATGTTTTAGGTTTGAAATGAAGCAGCCTGACATAAATAATACTTATTTTGTTAGATGTTCTCATGGTAATTCAGAATAATTCAATCATGAATTCAAAATAGCTAAAAAGTAATCTTATATAAATATAATTATGCTTAATGAAACAACCAAATCAAAATAATCTGTGCCAAATATTTTACATGGTTTTTAAATTTTTACTTAATTCATTTTTTATTTTATGTGCATGAGTGTTATGCCTACATATAAGTGTACCTGTGTCATGCAGTGCCTGCAGAGAACAGAAGAAGGCATTGTATCTCCTGGACTAGAGTTACAGAAGGTTGTTAGCTGGCATGAGGGTGCTGGGGTTTGGGCCTGGGTCCTTTGTAAGAACAGCCAGTGTTCTTAACCACTGAGCCTCTCCAGCCCCAATTTTTGTCTATTTGTAATGATACTAAACACAGTATCTCAAAGTAGAACATTTGTCCTTTAAGCACAGAGGGCTCAACAAAGAGAATCAATCAAGTATCTCTACTGCAAGGCAGAAAATGCCACAGAAGTAATCTTCATGAAGAGATATAAGGAGAAAAATTATACTTTCTAGTGCTGTCATGCGTAACTCAAACACTAAACACATGCCACAGTGTAACACAATGGCCACGACCATCACAGACGACTGGTCACACATTAAGGTTTTGGAGCTCAATCAACCTTGCTTGCAGACTTGGAAATCTGCACACCAACGGTTTTTGGGAGCAGCCCAGCCCACAGGCACACTTCACTCAGGACACACTCACAGATCCAAGGGGCAGCCTGTGACACTGGCCCGACAGGGCCAAAGTTCTACCTAAGCTCACAAAAGGCATAAAATGTAATTGATTAATCTCAAAGAATCTTTTTAAAGGGGCTGGAGTGACGGCTCAGCAGTTAAAAGCACTGACTGTTCCTGCAGAAGACCCAGGTTTGAATTCCAGCACCCCAATGGTGGTTAACAACCTTCCATAACTCCAGTTCCAGGGGATTCAACATCCTCTTGTGTCCTCCATGGGCATTGCATGACACAAGTGCACTTACACAGACGCAGAGAATACATCCACATAAAATAAAAATATAAAACTTTAAAAGATCTCTTTAGCCTTCAGAGTACTATGCCCAGGGAAACATGCTATTCTAATAGGTATTTTTGTGAAACTCTGTTGACCTCATTTTTAATGAGGAACAGTCGGAATTTCAAAGGCAACTCCTGCCAAGACTGACAGGCTGCAGGCTGGGTGGATGCTGCCTGGCCGTCCCCAGAAGAAGCCTTGTTTGTTTGACTGCCTGGAGGAAGCCATAGGTGGCAGGACTAAGGACCAAAACTAAGCTCTGGCCCCACTGCTCACCAACCCAGACACTGACACTCTTCTCTGCCTGGGTCTAGGAACTGCCTAGTGATAGTCATGGACCAAAATACCAAAGTGTTCTCAGGGACAGAAAGACTGTGGTATAAAAAAGGAAAGTACAAGCAATCAGGACAGTCAGCAGAGCTAGATAGAAGGGAGTCTAAAGCCCACTGTTAACATGGCTGAGAAACAAGGTGGTTGTGAAGAAGAGAGTCAGGAATGGGAGGCACAGGACGGCTATGGACAGTTGAACTGCAGACCGAGCATCATCTGGTAGGCACAGAATCTTTACTCAAAGTTTTTAAAGTACCTCAGAGATGAGAACACGACTTCTTGTTAAACACTCTAGAAAATACAACAAAGGCAGAGTCCTAAGAAAGTAAAATGGAGCTTGAGGCTCATACCAAAGTTTGAGCAATGACTCTACTTTTGTGAGCTATGTAATCTTTAGCAAATTATATAACCTCTTAAGGCGTTAGTTTCCTTGTCTATACATAAGAGATGACCTCACCAGTACTGGAAGGACTTCATGAGTTAAGCCACAGAAAAGAACACAGAACATAAAGGAAAGAAAGGAACACAGCAGTGCTTGATCAAACTCAGCCAGCCAGGCACAGTGGCCTGCATCCACATCCCAACATTTTGGAGGTAGGAGGGAGTGTCAGGAGTTTCAGACCAACCTGGCCTACAAAGCAAGATCTGGTATAAAAAAAACAAACAAGTCGTCCAGCAGTCCAGCGTTTTCTTCTTAGTGTCCTTTAGAAATAGTGGAAATGGAGATGAGAGGAGGGACCGGCTGGGAAGCGAAACACAGAGCTTGACGACCTACTGTTAAAAGGAAGTGAGAGTCCAACCTAAAGGACGAGGACAGCAGTGTAGTGGAGTCCAAGAGAAAGGGCTCAGAGGTCTAGAACCTACACTGTCACCCGAAGATAAGTATCAGAATGATGCTGCTGAGCCCCAAAGATGTTTCGGTTCAGTCCTATGCCCAGGGCAACCAGAGGAATGTGCCACAGACACAGCAGGACAGTGGCCGGTTCCCGGACTTCACCAGCAGCTGCTGGCACAGAGACACTGAGGAGCCCGAGTGATGAGTGCTCAGACCTCACCTAGCTATCCTTCCTGCAGCACACTGCAGGCCCTGAGCTCCAAGGTCTGCTTTTCTCCTCTGACCCCTACTATGGGATGTGGGCTACCCTCCACAACTTTTGACGAGTATTATGTCCACCAAGTCAGTATCTATACCCAGCTGAACCAAACAGAACAGAGAGCCTGTCTGAAAAAGACCGAAAACAAACAAACAAACAAAACCAAAAACACAACAGAGGGCTGTGGACACCCAGCAGCCCTTCAGGAAGCCTGGCTCTTCCCTGTCACAGTTCAGCTTTCAGATGATTAGCATGTCTTGGAAACATGCAGCAGCCCTGACACTAAGCAGCCAGACCAGCTCCAGCACCAAGAGCTTCTCTCAACTCTGGCAGGAAGTGGTGGTCGTCCACTCTCTAGGCCAAGAGAGTGCAGCAGTTCACACCCCACCTGAGAACCTCTGCCTGGGGTGGAACACAGGAACATTTATGGAGAGAAGGCTCATGGGCTGTTTGTGAACAACACAGAAACCACATAGACACATTATGATGTTGGACACCCAGTAACAATTGGGCAAAAGTACAGAGTTAAACTTGAGAAAATGACTCAAGACACTGTGTCATATACTAGACTTATCAGAAGTTCATTTAGAAACACAAGCTGTATGTCCACAGATGAACTTGAGAACAGATGATGTGGGGGCTGGAGAGTTGGCTCAGTGGCTAAGAACACTGGCTGCTCTTGCAGAAGACCCGGGTTTGAATCCCAGCAACCACATAGCAGCTAACAACTGTCTGTTAACTGCAGTTCTAGGGGATCCAACAGCCTCTTCTGTCCTCCAAGGGCACTGCACAACATGGGTGTACTCAGACATGCAGGCAATATAATCATACACATAAAATAAAAATAAAATATTAAAAAAAAAGAACAGATGACATGTGGGAATACAGATACACATGTGTACATTATGTGCATATATAACAGGAGGGTGTATGTATGTTAAGATACCCAGCTTGGGCCCTTGGGAGGTGCTTTCTCCTGCCCCTCCCTAAATTCTTCTGTTTTCCAGTTCTAGAAGAGAAAAAGTTCACTACACACCACCAAATAATTAAGATAATGCTTTTGTAGTATCGTAACTATATGAAGTACCATGTATGTCAATTGTAAAAAACAAAAACCATTTAAAAAACATACTTTGAACTTTAAAATACAAAGTACATTCAATTAAGTTCTGATGAATGCAAAGACAAACTATAATGGCAACTTTGAAAGTTAAAGTTTTCACTCTAAATAGAACATGGCATTAAAATAGAAAATTAGTCTGGAACCTACATATCCTGGTGAGTAACCTGGTGGGTAACATGATTCATCTACAGTCCAAGCACCACACAGAAAGCTACCTCCCAAGAGTAAAACTGTTCAAATGCTTTATTTTCATGAGCTATTTAGAACAAACAAGCTCAAAATGGAGAGACACTGACCACGATCCTGACGCCCGTAGCTTGTTCTTCAAGGTCTTAACCACACACGCCTTACCTGACACAGAGACTGCATGTGTCCGCATGCCTTGCTTTTCACTGTTGGCCAACCTGCAATGGTAAAGTGTGAGTGCTGTCATTCCCAAGAACAAAATACCTGGCCTTCGCAAACAGGCATCTGCCTCAGATTAGGAAAACCCGGATTAGTCCTCAGAGAAGAAATTCTAAACACAGAAGCAGTATGTAATTTTTGGCACTGCCATTTGATTTCTCTAATGATATTATAGACCAAAACACCTACTATGAAATTTGCAACTTGAACAAGAACCCACCAATGATTTCTCTTTGAATTTCTAAATTGTAAAACAGAGTGACACCTGTCTTCGCACTCCTATACAGAGGTGGGAACATGAGAGATGGTAATTACATGAGATGGGTAATAAAGCACAGTGACTTTCTTAAATTTTAACTAAACAAAATGACAAAATGCACAAAAGAGCACTTACTTTGGTATGGATGGCAACGCCCGTTCACCTTCTGGGAGGAAAAGGAAAGAGATGTGAGACTCCTTGGATTCTTTTAGAAGACAGTAAGCAAAAGTCAGGGAAGCAGCTTTATTCTGGTGAAAACCCTCTGCAGCCAGGTCACAATTCCATCTCCATCCTGGGCTCTCACGGCTTTCCTTCCCACACTTAAAACACACGTAAGGTTCTCGTTGTTTGAAAGGTTCCCTGACTCACAATGAAGAGTGAGGACAACAGGCTAATGAAAGGTCACCTCCTGGGGCTGGAGAGACAGCTCAGTGGTTAGAGTACTGGTTACTCTTGCAGAGGACCCAGGACCTATAATAGTGGCTAACAATCATTCATAACTCTAGTTCTAGGGCATCTGATGCCCTCTGATTTCAGCAGGCACTGGACAACATGGGTGCGCTTACACACATGCAGGCAATACACGCATACACATAAAATAAAAAAAATAGATAAAATATTTTTATTGATTGAGTGATTGGTCTTTTTGAGACAGGGTGTCTCTGTAGCCCCAGCTGGCCTGGAACTCACTATGTAGACCACGCTGGCCTTGAACTCACGGAGCTCTGCCTGCCTCTGCCTCCCAAGTGCTGGGATTAAAGGCATGGGCCACTATGCCAGGTTCAGCCAGACATTTTTATTATTTGATTTTTGGAATTAAGACTTTCAGTCCAAGTTTCTGTTTTTGTGAAACAGGGTTTTGCTAGGTAACCACGGCTGTGCTGGAACTTGTAATATATACTAAGTAACCTTCAATTATTAGTGAGCCGCCTGAGTGCAGGGATCACAGGTGTGGGCAACCATCCCTAATTCAATTTTATTTATTTACTTATTTTTTTATTTTTTGGTCTTTGTGAGACAAGGTCTCCCTGTAGCCTTAGCTGTGTAGACCAGGTCGGACTTGAATTCACAGAGATCTGCCTGTCTCCTGAGTGCTGGGATTAAAGGTGTGTACCACCAAGCCTGGCTTCTTGGTTCAGTTTTAACTTTGGACTAAAACATTTTATTTACTGGTCTTTAACTATAAAATTAGTATTAATTCATTGTAGCAACTCTACATTATAAAGATGTGGGGAAAAAAAGGGAAAAATTTAAAATTCATTCCTGTGTTTTAATAAACACATTCTCTTCAGTGTATTTGTGATCTAAAGTCAGACTCCTTTCTACACATTTTTCCTCTATAAACACTCCAAATACACTGAAACCCTTGAAACTATAGCCACATAATACATATAAATAAGTAAAAATTAAGTTATACAAACCAGGCGTGGTGGCACATGCCTGTAATCCCAGTAGATGGGAAATTTAGGCAAAAGGATCATTAATTTAAGGTCAATCCAAATTACACAATGCAGCCTAGGATGCATAGCAAGACCCTGTGTCAACCAAAAGAAAGGGGTGGGACAGATGGTCAACTGTTAGGGAGTTCATACTGCTCTTGAAGAGGACCCAAGTTTGATTGACAGCATCCACAATAGGCAGCTCACAACTGTCTGTAACTCTAGCTCCCCCGGAGCTATACCAATACCTTTGCTTCCATGAACACCTGCACTCATGTGCACACGCACGTGCTCTCTCTCTCTCTCTCTCTCTCTCTCTCTCTCTCTCTCTCTCTCTCTCTCTCTCTCTCTCTCTCAGCCCCCCCCACATCTAGACTCACATACTTTACCTCTCTCTCACTCTCTCTCTCTCTCTCTCTCTCTCTCTCTCTCTCTCTCTTTCTCTCTCAGGCCGGCACCCACTTAGCTTCACATACTGTAACCCTTACTCAAGCTCTCTCATTCACTCCCTACTTCCATTCTGTTTCTATGTTTTACTATTGTGAGCAGGTGACAGTGAGCATCCCAGCTGGGCTTCTACAGAACTTACTTGGAATACATTGAGGGGAACAGAGCTTAAAAATTTCATTCACTAAAACCTGCATACAGGGCACCAACCTCTGGGTTGTCATGACAAGCATTTTTATTCACACTCTCCTGCCTGAGCAGAACTCTTAAATGATGCTCCCTGCAGAGTACACAGCTAATTGCTGTGAAATCAGTTACAGATACTGAAGCTTTAGACATGGACAGCCACATTTAACACCTGCCTGTTAACTGCTAACGTGTATCAAATACGAAGACAAAACACACAGGTAAGGAGGAAGGCGTGGTGGCCACACCTGTAGTCCCAGCACTCGGGAGGGAGAGGTAGGCAGGTCTCTGTCAGATCGAGGCCAGCCTGGTCTACAAAGTGAGTTCCAGGCCAGCTGGGGCTACAGGGAGACCCTGTCTCAAAACAAACAAGAAATGACAACAACAAAAAGCATACTGGTAAAGGGAATAGGTAAGATAGGGTGCAGTATAGAGACTGGTTAACTAAAAAGAAATCACCTGCAACCTCTAACATGTGTCCTTCAGCACTACATTTTAGTAAAGAAATTCTCTCAACATAAACCAAATACTTTATGTCAAAGCTTTAACTGAGAACTTCAGACACTTCTGAAAGCTACTGTGTTATGACATCCACCCGCCCCCCCCCAGAGACTTGTCCTACAGTGTTGGTTAGTCTGGTACTGGCTGTGTAGCCTAGGCTAGCCTCCTGCCTCAGTTTCCCTAATGCTGGGATTACAGGCACACTCCCACCATGCTCAGGATGCCATTTCATATGAAAAGAACCTCAACAGAAACGTACATTGTACAAGAAAATTCCCAAGTAGCTATGGTTCATGTGACTCTCACAGGAAATACCCAGTCCTTATGTGGGTGGTCTGGTGGCTTGCTGCACCTGTGGCCATGGCTTCAGCGCTTGTTTCCGGAGCATAATACTATCATTAGGTTTTATGCAGAGAGTACCAGGACTCTGTGTATTACAGCAGTCCACACCCACGTCTCTGAGCTCCCCGTGCTTAGGGCTCTCCTGCGAGCTGGGTGGGCCCCTTCCATGCAGCCTTCCTCATCTGCTGCACTTTCCACCTCTGTGGGGCCACTCAGTTCAGCTAGCCTGGACACATGCCACCAAGGCTTCACGACTCCTAGTCATGGAGGTAGTGCTGGAAAAGGCCCGGGCAAATTCACATACACTGCCCACCTGCCCTAGTGCAGGCTGGTGTCTGGTTACTGTTTGGGACCCTCCTAACGACCTACGAAGTAGGCAGCACAAAGTTAAGGTCAATACAAGCCAAGACCGCACTGCAACTAGAGCAGAACAGGGAACAATACTCATCTACTGGGAACAGAGCACTGTCTAGGCAGCCCTGGCAGGGTGGAGCATGGGGCTTTGACCCTGCAGCACCAAACAGGTGCTGCGGTTCTGTTTCAGAGTCATCTTCTACAGATGAGTGTGTGGCTTGCAGGGAGAACCCAGAGGCTGTCCCTGTGTCCCACGGCAATAATGTCCTACTCAGAATGTTTTCACTTGACTGCTTCAGAAGTCCAGAGCAGCAGGAAAGTTCTTTGTGCTACACTTGTAAACCCCGCTTCATTCTGAAGTACACAGCCTCGTTTCTAGAATATTTGATTCCACATCATGCTTTTTGTTCTTCAATTATTCTGTGTTCCAGTTGTACAGGAGAAAACAACAACAGGATAGAAACCTCAACATGAATTATAAGAATCCCAAGGGGCACATTTGAAAAACTGAGAGATAATCTCCAGAGTTTACTAATGGAACTCAGGAGCTTCTCCACACAGGGCACTCACAGCAAAGCATTGTCACAGTACAAGGTCATCCTTAAGCAGCAGCCCAGCCCAGCTTTTCATGTGTGGACTGTGACTTGGGCCACTATCCCTAGGAAGCAAACACGTAGACCACAGCCTATCCGGCCTTCCCATTTAGTGTTAGCAAGATGGAGACTGGGCTGCTGGGGTAAGCCACCAGTGCAGCAGGGGTGAAGACAGTCTCACCTTTCTGGGGTCTGATGATGAAGGACTGTGTGGCTCCGTTCACCAGTCGGCAGTATCCGTCGATCAGGTCAGCCATGTTCTCTGCGATGGTTAGGGATGGTGCCGTCACTGTCAGAGGCTAATGGGGAAGACCAAGAGAGAGACATTATTGTTCTTCCCAGGAATCAAAGGGACAGCTGTGCTATGACATCAGACTTCTGCACACACTTGGAAACAGAGGAGTGGGCGTGAAACAAGACTTGCCAGATCTGACTTTTCGAGAAAGGAAGCCTGGTATGTAAGGACATTGTTCCTAGAAGATGTGACAGGAGACAGACTAAGAGTAAAAAAGAAAAACTGCTTAAACTGAGATTCATTTTTCTGAAAAAAGGAAGTGAAAAAAGTATTTTCCTTCAGCAGTCTGGCCCTTAGGTATACTCTAAGAAAAGAATTTAGGTAACAAGGTAAAGCACAACTCATTTTAGAGACCAATACTCAGTACATTCTTATCAATCATGCATCATAATTTTCTACCATTAAAGGAAATTGGTAAAATTTCAGTATTTTAATCTTCATAGCATGTTTTGCTGGGAGGCTTAAAAATCTGGAGGGTCACCTGTATAGAGCAAGTAGTCATTCTAAATTGCCTAAAGGCCTATTTCTGTTATCTGGAGACAACAAAAGCTGTATTTTATTTTCAGATCCAAGTATGCCCTAATTCACAAGGCTATTTGTAACTTCTTTCCAAACAAATGGCTTCTCTCCCTTGCATGACCCTAAACACTGCAGAGGGGCAGCAGCACTGAAGCCTCCTCGGGAATGGCAGGACTCGGCCGGCCTCCAGCACTCCACGCCCATGCCTGCTGATTCTGGGGGTCAGCCCTTTCTAGACTCCAGCCTCAGATGTCGCTGACTGAGGCTCACAAGACAGGACAGTGGTGAAACGCCCAGTGGGCAAGCTGCGCCAGGGACAAGAGCTTTAAATAAGGTGCTCACAACCAATGGCTCAGACTGCAGTCAGTAGGCTCTGTTCAGAGTCCAAGGTCCAAAGGCCGCTGCGTAGTATTCGCTGAATGGTTGCGTCTCCTCCTGCCACTTAACTCACTTCTAATTTTTTTCTTTCTCCTTTATTGTTTGGAGTTTTTGAAACAGGGTCTTGCTGTGCCCATGATGGTAGCTGGATGGAACTCACCATCCTCTTGCCTCGGCCCCAGAGGAATGGGGTTACTTACAGGGGCGGGGCCACTGCGCCCAGCCCATCCATTCTCAGTACACTGGGGCGGGTGCTAGCAGAATTACCAATCAGGCCCAGAGGCTGTGGCAACAGAACAGCACTGTGGCCAGGACAGACACAGACAAGCCAACAAGTATGTTTCCTTGATGCTTCTGAATAGTCTCTAATCATATTCATAATAACATTCTTGATTTTAAAAAGTTACTCCTCTCCTATTTTGGGGGACACTGAATTATTTTTGAACCTTTACACACAAAGAAGTTGCTAGTCTGATGACCCAGGAACACGTCACCGTTACCCTAGAGAAGCACCTCTACACCACCCATGTTATGGGTCCTCGGATGAAGTGGTGGGAGCCTCCCTCTGTGGTCCCTTACCTCAGGTGCACCTGCGACTCTGAGCTGCAGCATTCCTTTCCTGTCCTTGTCCTCGCTGTTTGAATACTGAATGGTCTGCACTTGGGTGAAGTCAGCCAGGTGTGTGGGCTTTGGAAGGAAACGTAAAACCTTAGGCCAGGGATAAACACCTCAGTCCTCTGATCCTAACGGCTCTGCGAAACGCTCACTACCCCAGCTGCCATCTGTTCTCCTGAAAACACCCTTCCCACAAAGTCGGGGACACTGACTGTGTGGGACAATGCTCCTCTAGTGAACACTGGTGCGTCAGTCCTGTGGCATCCAGGTTCAGGCTGCTCTTGGTGGTATCCTGAAGAGACCTGACAAATGGGTGGGTGAGAGAAAGCTGTGTCCACAGAGGAATGAAGAAAGCAGGGGGAGCCACTGCCATGACCACTCCTCGAGGCGCCTGAGGCGATTCTTGGAGGAAGCAGAAATTTGAAGAGGTGGAAAAACTATGCACCAATTTATAGAGAAATAGAGGGCTGTTAGGAGCTGATGGCTTGTGATGAACATGTGCTCCCGCAATCTATGGCAGCGGAGAAAGGGGGGAAGGGGGGGAGGAGGGAGGGGGGAGGGGGAGGGGGAGGGGGAGGGGAGGTCGTCCTCACAATAAAACCTAAGCACAAGACCAGAGGGCCTTTTTTATTTTTTTATGACACAAGGTCTCACCATGTAGCCCAAGCTGGCCTATAACTACCCTATACGAGCCCAAGGTGGTTTCAGATCTTCCTGTCAGCATTTCCAAGGCTAGGATACGAGTGTGTGTGACCACATTCAAATTTGTTATATTTTTAAATTTTTTTATTTTATGTGTATGCGTATATCGCCTACATGTAGGTAAGTGCACCCGTGTTGTGCAATGCCCACAGAGGACAGAAGGAGCTGTCGGATCCCCTGGAACTGGAGTTACAGACAGTTGTTAGCTGCCATGTGGGTGCTGGGATTCAAACCCAGGTCTTCTGCAAGAACAACCATTGTTCTTAACCGCTGAGCTGTCTCTCCAGCCCCAGATTTATGTTATTTAAGCTCAAGAAAAACTGTCCTAAACAATGTTATTGTGTGTGGGTGTGGGGTGTGTGTGTGCACATGTTGCTGGGGACTGCAGTGTGAGGCAAGGCACTGACCCACAACCCCAGCTTTAATGACATACTTTTCATTGACAAATTAAAATTCGTTTTTCAAACACCAAATGACTGCATATGTCCAAGGAAAACACCTGAGGGGAGAGGTGTACTAAGTCCACCAGAAACGATAGCAGGCCAAGCATCAAACCAAAGCAACAGCTCTGGAGCAGTGCTGGCCTCACAAAACGGAAGGACAGCAGGTGGCGGTAATAGTCCCCTTCAGGGGCAGAAGACTCAGCCCCTTGTAACTGATCTCTGCCACTCGGAGCTGCTCAGCTGCACTGTACAACCACCGAACCACCTGGGGGCATTTCCTACCGGCTTCCGTTCTACTAGGGCGGGATGTAAGCACCTCGGCTTCTCAGGTTGGGTTCCCAGCACCCACATGGCAGCTAACAATGGTCTGTAACTCCAGTTCCAGGGGATCTGACGCCCTCTTCTGTCCTCTGTGGGCACTGCACGACATGGGTGCACTTACATACAAGCAGGCAACACATTCATGCACATAAAGTAAAAATAATTTTTTCTGAAAAAATTTAGAAGATAAAGAATCTTCAAAGAAAACTGAGTGACTACAAACTAAATCTAAAGGACAGGATTGAAAATAGGTAACATCACAGTTTTCTCAAGAGACCACACATATATTTACCCTTCACACAAGCACTCTGAATGGTCCTACTGCTGTTTCTGTTTTGTTATTTTTTGAGACAAGGTTCCACTACATGGCCCCAGCTGGCCAGGAACTCACCATGTAAACCAAGTTAGTCTCAAAGTCACAGAGATCTGCCTGCTTCTACCTCTCAAATGGCGGAATTAAAGATGTGTGTCACCATGCCTGGCACGTGCCACCTTTTTTTTTTGGTCTTTTTTGAGACAGGATCTCCTTATAGCCCCAGCTGTCCTGGAACTATGTAGACCAGGCTGGCGTCGAACTCACAAAGACCCACCTGCCTCTGCCTCCCAAGTGCTGGGATTAAAGGTATGCGCCATCATGCCTGGCCTATGTGCCACTTTCTTACCAGTGCTGTTCCTGTATCTGTCCTCAATAGCGCAGTGGGCAGGCATGGTATCATGCGCCATTTCTTGGGAGACACTTTTTGAGTTAGCATTTTTTTAAGCATCTGACAATCATACTGTTTTTTTTTTTGTTTTTTTGAAATAAGGTCTCCCTGTAGGAGCTCACTATGTAGACCAGGCTGGCCTTGAATTCAGAGATCTGCCTGCCTTTGTCTCCCAAGAGATGGGATAAAAGGTGTGCGCCACCATGCCAGGCTTTATTTTTTTTAATAGTTTTTAAAAAAGTTTTTGTGTATGTTTGTGTGTCTGAGTGTAACATATGTATACCGTGTGTGCAGGCGGTTTTGAGTGCTAGGAGCTGAACCCAGGTTCTCTGGAAGAGGAGCAAGTGCTTTTAACCTCTGACCATCTTTCTAGCCCCGAGTTACCACTTTTTATCTTTTAAGAGATCTATGTCTTTCCCAAAGTTATTGGATAATCTCATTTTCTTATAAACGTCATCATTCTCACTTTACACATACCTCTACACTCCATCCGGAGTGAGTTCTAACAGTCTGTGGGAAGGACTTCTCTGGAAATGCCTCCTGTCTTCCCTAACCTTGTAACGAGTTAGTGTTAAGAACAGTATCTGTTCAATCTGTCTTCCTGCTATGTAAGCAGCTTATTTAATCTGGTAGCCTTTAGGAAAACAGTGTCAACACTCTTATGAGGCCTTGGGCTCCTCTTGTGATCAAGTGGTACAAGCTGAGCTAAACACATAGCTTTAATCTTAAAGTATGTTCCCTATTTCTTCCTCATGACCCTTCTCTCGTCCCTGACCCAGAATAGTGCATGAGCACATGTGCATGGGTGTGCGCGTTGTGAAAATATCAGTGTTGAAAGCAGTAACCTTGGAAGCAATGAATTATCTATGGTATATATTGTAAGCAACAGATACGATTATGATTAGATTGATAACATCTGTCTGTTTCTGTGTATGCTATTCTGAGTCAGTACAGTCAGAAAAGGAAATGCTCTGGTAAGACAAAGTTCCTATTTCTTTCCTACATCACAGCCGGATGTATCGTTTAAATTAAAGAGTGTACACCTTCTTAGAGGAACAGGTTTATAAAAATCAGAAGGAACAGTTCTCAGAACAGGGCAGGAGCCAAGCAGAGTGGGGATGGACAGCAAGGAGTGCATGTAGACAGACAGGTCAGTACAACAATGGCTGGTCACATGGCAATGCTGAATACACAGGTCCAGGTATGAAGTTCAGAGCACAAAGCAACACACCTGAAAAGACATGCCTGCTAGTGGGAGCCTGCAAAGAAGACATGGCAACCACACTGCCTGCCTGCCTGTCCATAGGATCATGTCCTCCTCGGCATACCACCCCTGACAAGTGTCACTATACACCCCAGGACTTACTATCTCCTGGCACAGAACAGTGCATACTTTCTCCGCATCCCTGACTGTAAGCTATAAGCAGGTGCTCAGCAACATTAATTGCAAGTCAAGACAGGAGCACACAATGGTGGACCAGCTATGAGTTTCTCTCTAATGGGTATTTTCCCTCAATGAGGTAAGTGAGGACAACAGAAGATTCAGAATTCAAAGTCTGAGATATGGATTTGGAATTAGCTTAAAGGCATTAATTAGAGGATAGGTTTGTCCAGACAAATATACTAAAATTAGGGGCTGGAGAGATGACTCAGAGGTTAAGAACACTGACTGTTCTTGCAGAAGACCCGGGTTCGAATCCCAGCACCCACATGGCAGCTAACAACTGTCCATAATTCTAGTTCCAAGGGATCCGACAGCATCTTCTGTCCTCCGTGGGCACTGCATGACATGGGTGCACTTACCTACATGCAGGCAATACACACATACACATAAAATAAAAATAATATAAAAAAGAAACAAAACAAATATACTAAAATTACATCCAGAAGTTTTAAACAATATGTGGTACAGTGCTTGCCTAGCATGTACAAGGTGCTGGGTTTGATCATTAGCAGTACAGTAAAAAAAAAAAAAAAGACCACTCGGGGCTGGAGAGATGGCTCAACAGTTAAAGAGCTCTGGCTGCTCTTGCAAAACAGCTGGTTTTAGTTCCCATCACCTATATGACAGCAAACAACCATCTATTACACCAGTTCCAGAGGATCCGATGCCTTCATCTGACCTCCTCAGGCAGAGTACTCCCATGGTGCATCTACATACATGAAGGCAAAATACTCATACACATAAAAATTAAACTTTTTTCTTAAATATGTCCACTCACAATAAGATGGAACAGCCCCATCCGAGCTTCACACACACTATATATAACCTGTCTGATTCACTTCTCTTCAAGGGTAAAGAATTCTGAAGACTCCCAACTGAGGTCTAAGGAACCCCCATGCCCCATCTGAGCAAGCAGCAGCATGGGATGGGGGATTTCCTTGCAGGATGGTGTCTTTCAGGGGAGCTCATTCATTAACCCCATTCCTCTGAGCCCAGAGCCAAACTGCTGTGGGGTCCCAGCAGACTCACACTGCAGCCCTTGTCTGTCAGGTAGCTGATCCCTTCCTCTGGGCCGATCGCCAATTCCACAGAGATGATCCAGCTCGACTTTTGAAGATCAAACAGGTGAGAAACAAGAGGTGCCGGAAGGAAAAAAATAATTTTAGATCCAGAGTCAGGAATATATGAAAGGAGTGGGGCTGAGGAGAGCTTGGGCTCTGTCCGTCCATCTAACCAAGGAAGATGTTTGTGTCGGTGGCCAGGACCTGCTGGGCCCGGACAGGAATGACTGTGGCATTGCAGAGGGGTAATCTTTTCTCTGGGAAGATTATCTGACAGGCAGAGTCGTCCTTGAACAACAGCGAACCAAACCACAGGATGGAATGAAAAGAGCGGACTACGAACACAAGCTGTTTAAGAGGTGCTTTATTACCTTGTTGGCACATCTTCTTCTTGGATTTTTTTCCCATGAGAGTGAAAGAATATTTTTGTTTGTTTAAAGATTAGGACAACATGGGGCTGGAGAGGTGGCTCGGCAGTTAAGAGCACTGACTGCTCTTGCAGAGGACTCAGGTTCGATTCCCAGCACCCACATGGTGGCTATGAACCATCTTTAACTCCAGTTCCAGGGGAATCCAAAGCCCTCTTCTGACCTCCTTGGCATTGTACGACATGGGTGCACTCAAATACATGCAGGCAACACACACACATATAAAACAAAAATAATAAGATATTTTTAAAAATTAGGACAATAATAAAAAAATAACAAAATGAAAATTAGGATAAATTAGTTTTCATTTAATCAGAAATATAGATACACGTGGATTTTGTTTTTAAAGCAGAAGAAATCAAAATTGTACACAGCTCCCAATATCCCACACTTACCCCAAGGGCACACTTGAAGCATTCTTTGTCAAATCTGTATACCGGAGAGAGGATTTCAAAGAATTTCAGAATACTTTCTTCTCTGTTAAGGTTGGCAAACTGCCTGAACGTCTGTTGGATCAGTTTTCTTAGTGTTTTGGCCTACATGATAAAATTACACACACAAAAAAATTGTTTTTAAGTCAACCAAGAGTAAGGCTGTTCATGGTTTAAAAGTATCTACACTCATATACTACAAAATTTTACTTGCCAAGTAAGTACTAGAGCATTAACTATAGGTAAAATCCACATGAGCAAACCTTTTATGGCCATGTTAAGTGTGTAGCACAGGGCCAGTAACTCAGGGCTTTACTGTTTCAACAGAAGACTACGACAACAGTGTACGTAATAGGACATGTGGCACAGTTAGGATTAGGCCATGTACCATGGATGCATACGGCCCAGCAAGAGCAAAGGCACACGGCACTCACAAGTTCTACCATCCTTTCAGAAGATGCACAAATGATAAACTTGCAAAACTACTTATAAAACAGCTGGAGCTGTTATACAAATTGTGGTGTGTACTTTCCCAGCCAATGTTCTACCAGCTGACTGTTTTTTGGAACTAGTTGATGAGGTTGAAATCCATACCTTTCTGTGACATGACAAAGACAACAGAACCGATGCCTTCAGAACAGAGCTCACACTGGGCTTCATTCAAGCGGAAGCGTGCAACAGACAGAGAAAACAACTACCTACAGCTTTTTAACTTGCATGGACAACCACTGGTTTCTGTGCTCCTCTTTGACTCATCTGAGTGCTGTCTTCACACATGAACGCCCGACAACTGAGCGAGTGTTTCCCAGGAAAGCACCTGGCCATCAGTGTCTTAGATAGCCCAAGGTAAAGAAGCAGTGAGCCATGGTGAGGTCTGAGGACAAAGGGGCCCACGTGGACTGAGGTATGAACTTAGCTCCTCACCTGCTGACACTGACACCACCTGCATGGGCAGCTTTGAGTGGAGGAGTGAGTGACATTTTCTTGTGTGGGTTCTGGCAGGGATGCTGACAGCAGGAAAGGAACATGAGAGTAAATAGGAAGCTCACCAACAACCTGGCGAGAGCAACAGTTCACACAAGCACAAGCAGGAAAGGGGCAAGACGGACTCCTGTTGCATTTTGAAAATGGAAGAAACTCTAGGCAAGAGTAGGTACTGAACTGACATGGCAAAACCTATTGGAGGAACAGGGTGGTGGGCAAGGGCTGGGAGAGCACCAGGGGCCATGGGGAATTCCAGTGGTGCCGTTATGTAAGCTGAAAGAGCGCCCTGGTCAGCATGCCCACAAAAGGTGTCAAAGGCAGGTCACTGGCAGACCCATGTCAAGGAGGTAGGCTGGGTGAACTTCAGAACCTTGGCAGTATAGAGGTAGGGAACACTGAGGCCCAGAGAGGGCTTCCCTGTGGCTGCTGAGGCAGGGACAGGGATGTCAGGAGGGTGTGGCCTCCACTGGTGGGGTCACAGAGGTGAAACCTGCTGGAGTGACTTAAGTCTCAACAAATCAAAAGGACTGCTGCCTCTGACACACTGCAGATGACCTGAGAAGACAGGAGCTGTGGCTAGAGGGGTGAACACAGCAAGGGGTACAGCTACTGAGATGAAAGACCAGGGTGAGAGACAGAGGATGTCACAAAGCAGAGACCACAGGCTGAAAGAACAGGCTCTGCAGGGTCACAGAGAGGTGGAGGCACGGCCAGGAGTGAAAGCAGAAGACCAAGTCTGCTCACTACAGCTGGCCATGCAGGCACTGAGTGACCTCATAGGGCGACAGTGGTTAAAGCAAATCCAGGGTGACTAGGTGCTTGGATAGAACTAAAGGGTGAAACAGAAAAAGGGCAGCTTTGTGAACACAAAACAGTGGTGCTAATTATGGACATGTCTGTGATCTAATTCCCTTTCTACCTGGACCATCAAGTAGTAGACAGCTGGTTAAATTTGAGTTTAGGAAAGGGTAGGGCTAGTGACAGAAAGGTCAGTTACCAGCTGAAGTCATTACAAGCACAGCAACTGCCAATCAAATGGACAGGAAAGAAAGAAGAAAGGACCACAGTCAGGAGCTGGCAGCTGGCTTACCCACGGCTGCATTCTGAGGGGCACGCAGAGGGACAGAAACAACAGAATTCCACCTCATTTGAGAAGGACTAGTTTTGATTTAGATCAGGTTTTGAACTGAAGTAAAACATGTTCTAGGTCAGTAAGGCCTGGCTAGAAAATGCACTACACAGATAGATAACAGTCTTTCAACCTAGGACTCTTCTTAGAAACAAGCCTTTAAGGGAATGAGCATCAGGAAGAAATGGTCTTGAGCTAAGAGACTGACAAATGCCACTTCCTGACACAGAGCTGTTCTGCTATGACTTTTTTTTTTTCCTTTTTCTTTTTGATAGATAGTCTCATGTAGCCCAGGCTGGCCTTGAACTTTTTAAGTAGCTGAGGATAACCCTGAACTTTTCTAAATCCTGAGTGCTAGAATTATAGGCATATGCCTACAGGCATCATGCCATTTAAGGGACGCTGTAGACTGAACTCAGGGCTTTTGTAGTACATGCTTGGGAAGCACATTACCAACTGAGTTATATCACAGGCCCCAGACTTTCCAGTTTTGCTGACAGTGTATCTACACAGGTCTGCCCCGAGGAGAGTGGACACCAGATGTAGAAAAGTAAGTATCGTCAAAACTTTCCCACAAGATAGCCTCTCCATTATCAATAAACAATACAGTGTCTAGGGAGTTCACTGAATAAAAATCAGGCTCAAAGAAGTAGGCCTATTCCACACTGGAGCCAGAACAAATGTACTAGGGAAATTCTATTCAGGGCTTTGCATTTGGAATTCACCGAAGAACTAAGCATATACCTTGACCACCAGAAACTCAGTGTAGCTGTATAAAGAGGTCTGTGGCCATAGTCACAGGCACAGGGTAGTGATGATTTTTCTATATGCCAGTATGCATTGAGGCATAGCCCACAGAGAGTGCCTGAAAAGACATCTGCAGACAGACTTTTGGGAGCATAAATTCCCTGTCTCCACATTGACCCCTGCAATCTCTTCACTCATCTGCTCTTCACAGAGACTGGGCAAGGAGGTCTTGTCGGGAGGACCGGGAAGGAACTAGGATGTAAACCAGGGTATACAAGCACTTCTTTCTCTAAGATGCTTCCCAAACTGCACCAAAGAAAGTGACCATAATATTCTAGGGTATCACCTCTTTTTTGTTTTTTGAGACAAGGTCTCTCTGTAGCCCCAGCGGGCCAAGAACTCACCATATGAACCAGGCTGGCCTCTATCTCACAGAGGTCCACTGTGCTCTACAGGGTGCACGTACCACCACGCCCGGTCCTCTCATCACATTTTGTATGAGCCCTTTAACACGATTCTTCGTAAGATTCTTGTGGGTGAGCAGACTGTGCTCACTCACTAACTCTATGAAGAGAGTAGCTCACAGATCAAACAAGCCTTTGCTAAACCATGGGCAAGCAAGTGCAGATTCTGCCATCACAACTTGGACTCTGTTAATGTCACCCCACCCGGCGCTATCTTCTAACAGTTTGCCTTCCGACATGCAAGCTGAAGATGGCTCAGATTTCTTTAGCTTTGACATGCCATCACAGGACACGCTCCCACAATATGCTGGTTTTCTGTTGGTAAGAACTATCTCCAACAGCAAGTAGAAAAATGAGTCCAACAGAGACATAGGGCACTGGCCGACTTTCCTGAAGTACACAATGCAACACATTAAACACGGGTTAGGCCCAAGCCTTAAATCCCAGCACTCAGAAGACAGAGGCAGGCAGAGTTCTGTGAGCTCAAAGTTAGCCTGGTGTGCTGGATAGCTTTAGTTGTTGACTTGACACACTTGAGTAGAGGAAGCCTCAACTGGTGGACTGCCTCCATTGGCCTGGCCTGTGACCCTGTCTGTGGGGCATCTTCTTGATTGTTGAGTGATATGGGAGAGCCCACTGTGGGTGGTGCCACCCCTGGGCAGGTGGGCCTATGTTGTATAAGAAAGCAGGTTGAGCAGGAGCTACAGGAGCAAGCCAGTAAGCAGCGTTCCTCCATGGCCTATGCTTCAGCTCCTGCCTCCAGGTTCCTGTCCCGAGTTCCCACCTTGGGCTTCCTCAATGATAAACTGTAACCTGGGAGATCTAAGTCAAATAAACCCTTTCCTCCCCAGGTTGGTATTGGTCAGTGTTTTGTCACAGCAATGGAGAAACAAACTAAAACACCTGGTATATACAGTGAGTTCCAGGCCAGCCAGGGCTACAGGGTAATACTCCAAAATAAACATTTTAAAAATATATGGCAGAATGGGGAAGAGGGCATGATCATAGGGAACAGAACACAAGGGCATATCACTTTTGTTCACATTAAAAAAACCTTGGTATGTGCCTTCCTGACACTAAGAACATTTATAGTAGGTCAAGTGCTGACATGCAGAGAAGAAAGCATGAAAATAAACCAACTCTACTTGACACCTCAGTCCCAGCCACACGCTTGTTTGTGGATTCATTCACTATGGACAGTAGTGTACTCCTGGAATCCGAGCACCTGGGAGCTGAGACAGGACTGTGAATTCCAGGTCAGTCTGAATTATATACCCTATGCTCCCCCAGCATACACACACTCCACACACTCTACATACTCCCACTCCCACACACACAATTGTATAAATGGTGTTACTCCATAGGGGAGCAGGTAGAAGTCGAGGAAGGAGACTCTTCCTTTGAGTATGTGACAGCTCCAGCTGGATCTCCCAGACACTGGGAACCTAACGTGCTACTAGGGCAGCACACTAAGCACCTCCCCACCCGAACCCGAAGCTTAACACACCCGGCTCAGCTCCCATGCTTCTGTGGAACCTACTCATTCTCTCTCTTCCTCCTGACCTCCTGGGCCTTGAGGCATTTATGTGGCTGAATGGTTGGCTGGGTCCCACCCAGTTCTGCTCTGAATTTAACAGCCTGATTCCTAACAGCAGCACAACTGAACCTTCAGTATCTGAGGCAGAACTCTGAAGCCAGGCTCTGATCCTCCTTTTCCACCCCTTCCACATCAGACCCAGGGCCGAGTCCTGAAGTGCTCTACCTTCCACATCCTTCAGCTC